GGAAACTACTATTACAATAGGTGTTAAATTATATACATACACATATAATGTCTGAAATACACAATGTACACAATTTTCAGCTTTTCACAGTCACAGCAGCCTTCCTGGTATTAAAATTTTTAAAGTTTCTTAAATCTTTGTTGTTTAAGATTAAAATTTTTATAAAACATGCAGGTTCGTGTCACTTCTCCTATTGTCTTTCTTGGAGGTGGCTGATCTTGTGCTGCCTGTCTGTCTTGAGAAAGGAGATTCTTAGTATTGTCTGTGTTTATTCGTGGCTTGCTGTGATGTTTACAGTTGTTTACAGTGTAAACAAAAAGTATTGGTGCCCTCTGAGGATGATCCGTAGGGATCGAAACATGTAAGGGTGATGAGTTTTCAAGTGATAAAACTTAAATAGTCACACTGGATGGTGTTATTTTTGTCTTTGAAATAATTTGTTTTTAAATTGTTTGTTTTGAGAGAATTTAGTGTATTCTTTTTCACATTTTATTGCCTTAAATTCATGATCAGAATATGAGTATAAATTATGCAGTCTGAGCAATAATATTGTGTATTGCACTGATTTACAAATGTATTCAATATGTGAATTGAAGTTTTTTTTTAGATAAAAAACTGAATTTGTATTCTGATGTTTGTTATATTATTGCTGTGGTGTAATTCAGTTAAAGCTCATTTTGATGAATTATTTTTCAGTTCATTGAAAAGAAATGTGTCAGGAAATTCAGGCTTATGACTGAATCTTTGTGTGTGAACCAGCTGACCAGCTCTATGATCTTAATTTTTAATTTCATGAGTAAAAGAGTATTCCTTATTTTGTATCCAGCCAAGTGTTGGGTAGAGATGATGCCTTCAACTAAGTTCATGTGCTCTCTGGTTGTGGCTATCACACACCTCAGGCTGCAGTGATAGATGAATATGGAATAGCAATGGAACGATTAATGGAGGAAAATAAGGAAACTCAAGGAAAACAGTTTTCATGTCACTTTGTCTACATCGAATCCCTTAGACAGTCATCCAGAATTGAATGGAGGCCTCTACTGTGAGAAGCGAGCATCTAGCCATGTGAGCTATGGCGTGACTAGTTTTATGAATATTGTGGCATATAGACCTGTTGCTATGCAACAATCACAGAACAAGGAACTGTACAAGAACCATTGCTAAGTAACGGCTTTGCAAAGAAGCATGCTTCCACAATAACAAGAGGGCGCAGCAATAATGGAAGAGACATTTTCTGTGTTTTTGCAGTTCTGTAGAGAACTGCTGGGGGGGGGGGGGGNGCGTTGCATGCGTGCAGTGTAATAACTCAGAAGACCACAATCTTGTTTAGGATTGTTCATGAATCTTCATGAAGATTGATCAGGAACTTCAAGATTTGTCCTTTGTGCATGTGTTCACCTGTGTTGGAACATTAGGGACAGATGTGATGCTCCTTTGTAAGGGAGACAGGATATTAAAACATGTGTTATGGTTACAGATCTCTGATACTAATATTTAAACAAGCGTACACTTAACAGGCATCTTTGACAAGAGGAATTATATATGAAATAATTAAGATATAACCTCATCCAGTATAATAAGCAGACATTAAATTCAGGTGCAACTATTCACTGTCAGGTTATGACACACAGATAATCCAGAGCTATATGCGTACTAAAAGAATAAACAATCAGTATCAAGGCTTCAGTATTTATTATACACACTAAACGAAAATTAGATGTGTATAAATTGTTTACTGTTCTTTGCATGAAAAACGTTTTGTAAGCATGAGATGAAAGGCCTGAAATTAAATAATTTCAGGTTATGATAGCAGCACAGTGTTGGGCCTTAGCATTTCACATGAGTGTAGGTTCTGTAGTAGGTCTTGAATGAGTAAGAAGTCTTTTGTTTCAGTGTATCTTGTCTGTCGTGTGAGTACGGGTATTTTATGTGGATATTTGAAGTGTAGTGTACTGTATATTTAAAGGGGCTCATTTATGGGAGGTGGTGTTAGACATTGGCCTCCCTGTATCGCTGATGAAATTTAGGACTGGAAAGGCATATGAAAGAAAGTAAGGGAAGTTAATATTATCAAAGCTTATAGAACAAATGATGAGACTTCCTGCTGAATTTTGAATGGGCGTCACACTGCTACACTTAAAAATAGTATATTAATAGAGCACTACATTAGAAGAAGACACATCTGATCTGAATGCAATTTAAACTCTGTAAATATGCATGAAAATAACTGCTACTGAACTCAGTAAAGGCTTTCTTGTGTTCTGTTTTTTCTTAACTATGGTTGTGGTCTGGAGGCCGTGGTTGGTTGCTGAATATGAAAGTTTTAAAACGTACTCAAAGCATCCATTCTGCTTAATTACCTTGAAAACTTCAATAAAAATTTAATGATACATGAAACTCATACATCATCGTGTAAAGTTGCCATGAAATCTGTCTGGTATAAACAAAGACTGAAATGCTATGACAGTTTTTCATAATATTCTTGAGTACAAAATGTAATGAAAATCCATCCAGCAATTCTTGAGCTTTTATATATGTATTTGCAGACATATGAACTGACCGAACTTGGTATGTGCTCCGCAGAGTTGCAGGTGTGCCACGAAAAAAATACATTATATATTGGAAGACATGCATTTTATTGTTTACATTGTTTTCTTTAGTATTGTGATTTCTTCAACACCTACAGACACATTGATAAATGTGGATATGTTAGGTTTTGTTTTTATGTGTCAACAGTGTTGAACATCACTCTTATCGATTTGCCGGGACTGACCAAGGTGCCTGTGGGTGACCAGCCTGCTGATATTGAACAACAGATTAAGGACATGTTGTTTCAGTTCATCACGAAAGAAACTTGCCTCATCTTGGCAGTCACTCCAGCTAATACTGACCTTGCTACATCTGATGCTCTACAGATTGCCAAGACAGTTGACCCTGATGGTAAAGGGGCTGTCACAACATTCTGATGTAGCAGAATGACAAGTGACAGTAATATTGGTGTTATCTGTGTAGACATGGCACATGTATTAGTGTTCTCATTAGTGTGCGTTCTAGTGAGACTGTAATACATGTGGCAGTTTTTAGTCCAGAATATTTGAACTGCATGTAATGGTTGAATATTTTTGTTTAATAGCAGGGATCTTGTTGTGAATACTTTCGTGGCAATTCAAATATATACAGGAAAGATGTGCGATAAAAATTGTGATGGAGCATGCACAGACCAGAAACTGAGATAGAAAAGTAGGTGGCTAAGTTTGTTGCATAAAATTTCTGCCACCCTTTTCATTTTAGTTTCTGGTCTGTTCATGCTTTATCACAATTTTAATTGTACATTGTTCCTGATGTCTTCCATTGACAAAGCCTGATCTCAGCTGTGTATATAGATGTAGTTATACTGACACACCTTGTCCAGCAATTGAGGTTAGCTCTTTCTAGTGGACCCAACAGAGTAGGTGTCTCCCATCCCTCACCTGAAGATGGAAGCAGATCCACTTTCCAAAATGTTGTGTTCTTTTGTCTTTTTTATAATGATGGACAGAGCCCAAAAAGTGTAGTAATCCTGAGGGATGCACAGTTTTTTTGCAGAAAATTTTTAGGAGGCCATTGTATTTTTCATACACATACATTTTGATTATATGCATTGGGTGTGTACCATAAGCTGTTTGATAATTTAATTTTGTATTTATGATGATAATACTAAATGTTCTGAATTCTGCGAGACCCAGGATGTTAGTTCGTTGAGTAAACTGTATAGTAGCTACTGGATTTACTTCTTCTGCTTTATATTTTTGATGGATTGGTTTCAGCTATGTGTTAATTTATTTTCATCCCCCCCCCCCGAATGCTGAGATAAACTTTGAAATGGGCCATGTATTCTCTGTCTTATTCTTTGCTGGTTGATTAATTAACTATCAGCTATTTTTTTTTCTTAAAGCATTATATAAAAATGTGGAGTTTTAAATTTAAGGGGATGAAACATTTGCGTCTAGGTCATAAACTTGTATACATTCACGGAATGTAAAATATTTTTATTCTCCTTTGTTAAGTAGTACATTTTATGCATCCATATATTCTGGACAAGATTTCCACAGATGTTTGCTGTTTCAGCACAAGAGCCTTGCACGCAAGTTGCATTGCACTGTAGTTTTGTATTAGATACAGTAGATTTTTGTTTCAATTATGTTTCAGTTCTGAATCTGACTCTTATTGACCTTCCTGGTCTAACAAAGGTCCCTATTGGAGACCAGCCTCCTGATATTGAGCAACAAATCCGAGCTATGATCTTGCAGTTTATTACAAAAGATAACAGTTTGATCTTGGCTGTTACACCGGCCAATACAGATCTTGCAAACAGTGATGCACTCAAACTCTCCAAAGAAGTTGATCCTGCAGGTAGGAATAACAAATCATGCAAATTTCATCATGAACATCAAGAAGTGTGGTACTAACCAAAATTTCCAACTGTGTCAAGTTATTTAGCAGTAGGGAGCTGTAAATAAGGCAGTAGGGTAGGATAGAGAATTAAAAAAAAATAAAAGCATTCGTTAATATTAAATACATTTATTGTATGTACATGTAGAAATTTGTTTTAAGGATCTAAAAAAATGCATTTTTTCAAGTTAGTTATTTAAAGACAATATCAGTATCAACACACACCACCAGATGATGGCTAGTTAACAAATCTGGAGCAGTGTTAGTAACTGACAGGGGAAACCAAAATACAAGTTCTACATGAACTGACCTTTGATCAAACCTAGGCTTCTGCAGTGGGAGGACCAATAAACTGCATTAGCCATGGCACAGCCTGAGATGTTTGATTCGTGAATGTTTCAGACTAGCGATTATCAGTGCTTCAGGATTGATGAACTGGTAAAAGAGCACTGGGATTTGGAGGCTGGAACACTGTCAGTATTACATTGTAGGATACAACTAATAGCTGGCAGATATAAGTATTATTAAATACTTCAAGTCACATTTATTTATATTGTCATGATTTTGAGTGACTCTTGACAGGGTTTTGGATTGGATTGACCATTTATGGATCATAATTATACTTAATTATAACAATCTCACTGAATTACACACTCCAAATATCACTGTAACTACAGCACTCATGAAGTCTTCTCTGTCTTCACTAGTCGTTCCCTGTAATGGATTTTAACACCGTCCACATCCTTACTGGCTGGCACATATCCCACAGCTGAACTAACTGCACCAACTAAGTCTTCTCTTCACAGACTCCTTTAACAGTTGTTTCCATGCTTCAACCAACTAACTTCCAGGCTGGCGGCCACATTTCACACCAACCTCGTAGTCTTCTCTTCACAGACTGACTTTCAACTGACTCTTCCACTGGTGTCTTCATTAAATAATCCCTCCACACGGACCGTGTAGAAAACAGCATTTCCAACAATTTCTCTGTTGTTATAGTTCAGCTGTTGCTTGTTAAGAATATGCTGCCAGGCATGCATGAAATCATTTAACACACTCTTTTGTGTAAATTTAGTTCCATGATATATTCATATTTATAGAGTAAATTGCAGTTTTGCCTAAATTTACACATAATATAATTTATTTCTTCATGTCTTAATTTCCCATTGAGTTCAGTTTGCTTTTCTGTATTTTTACTCAATAACCAATGTTTTTAGAGAACATGAAGTGATCTGTGGCCCTGTTCTATTGTGTAGTAACCATTTAATGCGTAAAACAACTGCTGTGCTCATCATGGTTATAAATAATAGGGAAAGATGTGTGATGTCACATTCTTTTGCAGTTTTGGTACCCTTATTTATTCTGGTTGGTGGGAATGTGTACTCATAAAACTGCCATAAGAAATAAACATTCTCATTATTTCATTTGTGTTTATTTTGAGAAAATCCAAAGTGAAGAACACATTTTGACCAGTATATTATAATATAATGCCAGTTAGAATTTTTACGCTGACATTAATGAAGCTGTTGACCATCATTTGTTAAGCAGTTTTTCTGACGGTTATGAGCAATAGTTTATCATCTCAGGTGTTCAGTTCCCTAAATTATTTTCTACTTTGAAATTGAAGGTAATTAAAACTATTCTGGGTAAAGAGTTTCTTTAGTTACATTGCATCTACATGTATATTTCTGTAATCCAGGTACCATTTTAGCATTAATAGTGTGTCAAGAACTGTGTACTACCCAGAATATAGGTTATGTAGTTGGTGAACAGGGCACATCTTATTGGAATTGAAGTTTTTTTTTAATTTTACTATTCCTATCCATATATTTGTGTTTGAGGCTTGTCCTAAGATTTCCTGTTTGCTTACAAGAATTGTTGTTGATAGCATTATATTTTATGAGTCTGTTGAAAGGATGAACTGCACAAGATACTTGAAAATATTTATCCTAATATTAATTGTTCAATTTCCAACTCATGTCCTAGTGTTTTGGTTATTGTACATAGTAGTTGTTTGGATATATTTATTTGTCTTTGTGCACTAGCATTGCATGAATTTTCTATGTACTTATATTATCTTTTAGACATATTTGAGGACTGTGTTCATAAATTTATTATTTTATCTGAACTGTGTGTCTAGGCATAACAGGTTACTGTAAAGTAATTTGTTTTGATGACTGTCTAAATGTAGCAAATAAATATAAAGTAAAACCTGTCTATAAGGGAACCCCAAGGGACCAGATTTTTTGTTGTCGTAGGCATGTTTCAGCTTAATAAGGTACATGCAACTAAATTAAATATTTTTGATATGTGTATCCCATATGTTTATTCTGTTGAATAAGTGGGTGACACATTTCTAACTACATAACACATTGTTTAATTTTTCTAGTATTGCAGTAAAATATTCTGCACGTAATTTGTTGTAGAGAGACAACTCTGTCAGCACTCACACTCTGAAAATTATAATAAATAGTTGAGAATAATTTTGATCTAGCAAAAATGCCTATTTTTTTCATATTGTCACAGTAAGATTTTGAGGTTGCATTCCAGCTGAAGTTCTTGGAAAGTTCCTTTTCTCCTTCTCTTGCCCTTCCCATCCCTCCTTAACCTCCAGCTCTTGGAGCCCATTGCTGCAACTAAATGAAGTAAACATCTTTGGACCTTTTACCCCCAAAAAATCCATGTTTTTAGCTGCTTAATATTAATGAATTGAAAATTGACAGTTGTTGGGGTGGGTCAGGCCAGGGTTGTATTAAGACTTTGTGAGGCACTACGGTGTTATAGAGATGAAATCCTATACTTTCCTTCAAAAAAATAAAAATCAAATTGTGTGCGCACGCGTGTGTGTGTGTGTAATATTTTGCTTAGCCGTGATCATAGCTGCCCTTCAGGGAGTAATGCTGTCCCCTAGTTTCCTTTTAATTGTCAAAGCTGTTCCTGTATATGTTGTTTTCATCCTGTCCATCTGACAAGATGCAGTCAGATGTTTATCTTCCAGTTTTACGAGAGAATATTACATTGTCTTGTGAATGATTTTTCTCCCCAATATTTGATGATGTGTAAGGCTTCAAGGCTCTGAGCTGCAGGTTATTTAGCTTGTGTGTAAATCTGGCACTGGGTCAGTAGTATACGTGAACAGAGATGTGGAAGTACAGCACTCAGCAAAACTGCAGGAAAACAAAAACTGATTACTTTTAGACCCAAGGTTTTTTATTTTGTCTGAGACTCCAGATGTTACTTTTCAAATTACAGAATGTTCGATGGTTACATTTTGGGAAAGTATTAAGCAAAGATACTTGTTATTCCTGTAAAATTGTATGTTTTATGCTTAAACTTGATTATGGCTCATGTTGTGTTAACAGGTATACGCACTATAGGTGTCATCACAAAGCTGGACTTAATGGATGAAGGGACAGATGCACGTGATATTCTTGAAAACAAATTATTACCTTTAAGAAGGGGTTATATTGGTGTTGTGAACCGCAGTCAGAAAGATATCGAGGGCCGTAAAGACATCAAAGCTGCTCTTGCTGCAGAAAGAAAATTTTTTTTAAGGTATGAAGTAGTGTCTTACTGAGCATTCAAATGGGAAGGAAACGTGCTGTGAGCAATAGCACAGCAGGAGATTACCGTGTGGCTGTGGCATGGAAACAGCTGAGGGATTTTTTTTGCACGGATCACTGACTCTCTCTACTTAAACAGAACTTTAGTGTTGATTACTGCAAATAAGTGACACAAGACTTACCATACTTTACCAGAACTACTGGAAGTGACTCCCTTCAGCCTTCAGGCATGCCGTGCAATGCATAAACATGTTTAGTGACTTTTTTTTTGCAGTTTGTTTTATGAAACCAAAACAGTTACACGTGCTATTGCACGAAGATTTTCTTCATTCCATATTTGCATATTGGATTGATGAATAAGATAACACTGAGCAGAGTAGTGTAGTGGTAATGGTCTAAACTTGTATTCTGGAATTGATTGATTCAAATCTCGGATGGGATGCCAGCTTTCCTGACAAGTTGTTCATTGTTCTCAGTCCCCTGTAGGCTGTTGCCTCAATTAGAACTCTACTGTTTCATACCATTTCCTTTAAAATTCATCAGTTATCCAATTATTTGACACTATACACCCCAGAGCTGTAAAATAAAGTACAAAATGTAAGGTAATGTAGCTGAAGGAGGAAACAGCAAAATTGTGATCAGAGTGTACTGCAAATTTTATCCCCAATAGAGAAGATGATGACTGTCTCATTCACAGACAGCAAACCTATTGTCGTCTGTGTGGTAGCATGTGAATACTCTGTTTGCTCAGAGCTTTTTATTTTAGGATCTGAATTCAATATTTTTGCAATGAGATGTGTGATTTGGCTGCTGGTTTTCATGGTCAAATCCTCGATAAGGAATAGAACTTACAGAAAATCCTTCAGAGGTTCATTCATAAATACTCACAAGAGTGAGTTCCCTCAGAGTCTTGTGTATCCAAGTACACTAAAAGTGGTGGGCTTTGAGTTTAGTTTGTGACATAAAGGAACAATATAAGAGGAATATGGTAACAGAAGAGAAAGATCAGGACATTCAGGGATGGTTAGAGATAAGTTAATATGCTTGGCACAAGGAACTGGTGTTTTGCTAGGATTTGTGTTCACAGCCACAAAACAAATTTAAATTGACCTGTATAAAATTGTGGTTTTGCATGAGCTTAAAAGAACCAGATTATGCTGGAAGAATTGTGTTGTGTAACTGATTACTGCAAACTGCATGACAGTTCTGGATCCACACTTGCTGTTCATAACTGATAAGCTATAAATGTACCTTAGTGGTTATGTCAGTGCTCAGAATGCATGAATATGAAGGGATGAAAGTCTTCATGCTATTTGACAAATGTCACAAGACAGTGCACAAGCAGCGGTATGCTGTACTGTAAGTGTGCTGCAGGTCATTGGCCCAAAAATTTTCAGCCACCTATGAATCCAGATTGGTGTGTGAGTGTTATATTCTATCCCTTCTTCAACCACCTGATAGATGAAGAGAGAGTGTGTAGGTATTTTCAGCAAGGTAATGCTATTGCACGCACTGCTGACAAGCCTATCTGCTGTATGTGAGGTGTTTAAGAATGGAGTAATCACCAAAGGACTCTGGCTTCCTAGGTCACATGATCTGAGTTACTGTTGCTGTCTGTGGAGCAGCTTGAAATGAAATTGTACAGGACTAACCCTTGGACCACTGAAGTACTTAACAGCAAAATTATATATGTAATTGCTGTAGTTTTGGAGGATGAAATTAGTGGTTTAGATGCTGTAAGATCTGCTTGACAGCAGAATGGGGACACTTCCAATAGTTCTTATAAACTATGGTACACTTGTGTGTCATAGGGCAGACACGCACCAACTGCATTAAGACAAGCATCAACATATGAGACAAAATATGCAGTCTTGCTTCATATGTGATTTGTCAGCGTGAAGCTGACATCAGCATCATGACTCAGACCGGTGTGCGGCAGTTTTCATAATCTCATTCGTTTCAGCTGTGCTCCTTTCTTTGTGTCATGTCGCAGACATCGTGTCTTGATGCATGCTGGTGTGCGGCCTGCGGTACTTTTGCAGTTGCGTTTCAGTAGTCAACAGTGCGTACAGTGATGACACCTTGGCCATTGCCCCTTGCTGTCATGCAGTAAAGTACTGCCACACTCCCCTACAGCACATTTCCTCTTCATTTGAATACACTGTATTTAAATTAATTCATGAGATACTTTTAAAACATGCTGATTTTTGTTTTTCGTTTGAGGAGTGCAACTGCTCTAATAGATGTAGTACACAATAGCTGTAACTAACTGCTTCATATAGTTGTTCTTGAGAATGTGATACTTTCTCAGATGGTCAGTGTCAGAAAAGCTCATTAGAGTGTCATTTCTGTTTACAAGAACTTAGAGTGTTGAACCACCTGGATTGTAGTGTTACGTAGTATTGCAGTAGGGATGGGTTTAGACAGGAAACAAGCACAGAGTCACGGGCGTGATTTGGTCAGGCAGATAAAAGAAATTGAATGTTACAGCTTTCTGCTCACATTTGTTCCTTCTATGAATCCACCTCTACTGCCCCAAAGGTGGAGGCAATAGATTCTTTAAAAATGGTGGACTTATTTTCTGGTTCTATGTGGCGTTAATGGCCCAGTTAGTTGTATGTCCTGAGGTTTAATACTAGTCACTTAACTTCAAAGAAGAGAAGAAATGGAAAGTACAGGGAAACTGTATACTGTATTTTTGTTACCAAATCATCTTCAACTTGAGTTGTACTCCATTTTTGTTATGCACTTCATAATTTTATTACAATTTATTTCCTGCCAAGAAGCTCACAAAACATAGAAGTCTTTTTCATGCATGTCAGAATGTTCTTGTTTCTGTTCAGTCTTTTAAGTTAAAACAAAGCCATAGTAACATAATTGTTTTTGTTTACTGCATCAAATTCACATTCAGTCTTCTTCATACTAATGTAGTCCAGAGTTCACTGACTACAGTGTGCTAATATGATAAGTAATAAAGGCACAGAAGTGGATGCATGTTCATGTGCAGGAATCAGGCAAAATTTTATATTGACACATTTGTAAATAATACTATACCATGCTTTTTCAGTCATCCATCATATCGACATATAGCAGATCGTTTGGGTACTCCTTACTTGCAGCGAGTGTTGAATCAGCAGCTTACCAATCACATCCGGGACACATTGCCTGGCCTAAGAGATAAGTTACAGGTAAGCAAATTTTTAACCAAAGTAACCATTGTACTTATGTCATGTGTTAGGAAGACACATAATTTGCATTCTTCACCAGTTATTGTTACGGTGATTAAGTCAGGCAGGATGAGATGGGCGGGGCATAAAATTTCAGCAAAAATCAGAGGGCAAGAGCCCACTTGAAAGAATAATGCATATGTGCGAGGATAATAGGATGGAGGGCATGGACTGGATTCTTGTGGCTTGTTATAGGAACCCGTGACAGGCTGTTAGTAACACAGTAATGAAACTGCAAGTGTCATAAAAAGGGGAGAATTCTTGACTTTCTTAACAACTTGGTTTCTCAGGAATGACTCTGCTTCATGCAGCTACTTGTATAGAATCCAACATCACTATGTATCATACTTGCTGATCATCACATTTGGCCCATATATTTTGTGCTGCAGGTTGTCCTTTATGAATAGTAGAGTGTGTTGCCTGAAAATTTAAAACAATGGTCTGTTTACGTGAACATCTGATGCATTTTTCTGAGAAAACTGAAGACCCCTTTTTCTAATTTTGAATTTGTAAAACTATATAGTTGTTTGTTCCCACCTAGTGTGCTGTCTTGAGAATAGGCAGTTTTATTCATCATAACAATCAAATTCCTTCCGTCAAATGTGACACTTTTTTAAGTTTTCCACCTCGTCACCACCTGCCTTACATGTTTCGGCTCACCACGGAGCCATCATCAGAGGCATTTATAGTAGAAAAAGAAATCACCAACACACAAAACTTCACTTTGTCCAAGATAGCCACGTTCCAGTTAATTAAAATAATTACAANGTATTGTTTAAATTTTTTTTGCCCCAAACCACTTTTCATTCCTGGGCCTTGGTACGTTTCACCATTCATCAACAAATTATAACCTTATGCTATTCTGCAGACATCTATGACCTAATAATGCAGTTCATTCACAGACACACTCCAAAAAAGGTATAAAATTAAGATACCAGTAAACAGCTCGGCCCTTCTCGTTTAAATGTACCTGTATAGGAAGAAGGGATCAATTTAAAGGTTAATGGGGCACACGATAGCATAGTTGGTTGAGGCACTATGCTACAAGCCAGAGGGTCACGGGTTTGATTTCCATTGACCTAATCCTTTCAGCCACATTATGGCCCTGGGGTCAACTCAGCTCCTAGGAAAAATGAGTACCAGGAAACCTTCCTAGGGATAGAGAGTGGCCAGCACATAAGGTTCAACCTCACCGCCATCTGTTAGCTAACGGTCTACAAAATGTGGTAGCCTTGACATCTCACAACCCTATGGGCCTCCATGGACTGTGACAAGGATAGCTTAACCACCTTTACTTCAAAGTCTTAATAAATTTATTTAATGTTAACATCTTACTAATGTCCTCCAAACATAAAGGGAGGCAAAACTGAAGCCTAATCTTACCATCCCTACATCAAGGAAAACAAGAACAAGTCTTAAAAATAATAAAACTTTCTTATAAACACATCACAAACATATATGTAAAGAAGCATCAATAAGCACATGCTATTAAAAGACATTGATTATTCATCTTTTGTTTTAATTACTTTCTGACAGTACAAAAATAAGACACAATGCTGACCATGAATATTTCTGATTGCAAAAGCAATTTCTCTCCTGAGTTCCTTCTCGTCAAATTCCATCTTCACAATCTCAAAAGGAAATCGTTCATGGAAAAGTCTGTTAATTTTTGCTCCACCAGACAGCTCCATTGTATTGATCTGTGCTGAGCCTGAACCCTCAATGGTACGTTCAAAATCTGACTGCAACTGTTGTATCATCCTGAAAATACATTTTTAATAATAAGAGACTTTCATATTATTCAGCAATGCTAATTAGTTGCTGAGGTCAGACAGCAAAGAATGAAGTGAGGATGAGTAGAGATGGTAAACAAAATGGGATGTGAGCGAAATCAGTTAGAACCTAGAATCCTATCCCACAATGTGGTTGCTAAGAAAATGAAGGCAAGTAGTTCTATACATATTATATATGTGTGTGTGTATATACATTATTATATTTAAGCATCCTGTTGCACTCTACATGATAAATGATACAAACTCCGTCCCAAGTGCAAACAATATATTATATGTCTTTGATCTTGCTCTCTTTTATACTACATGTTTCAGCCTCAAACGGCCATCATCAGGTGTATACTCTCACGTTGCTGTTACACTGCACTTAGTTTAAAATTTAATATTTTAAAAACACATTGTTCCTTTCCTTGTAATTATCAACATCTACTTCGTTGATACCTGTCTGGTTTATAGATTATTTTGCACACGTTAATTTTGATTTTCCTGTAGTAGCACTATAAAATCTTTAGTTCTAATTTTAAAATCCTTTAAAATTTTCTCTAAATTTTAAAATTTAAAATTTAAAATTGTTAGGGTTACTCGCCCTATGTCTAAAGTGCTGCAGCGGCTAGTTCTTGTTTCCACACTGTACAGGTATTATCCTGTGTAGTCTTCCTCTGTGTGTGCCGCTGCTATTCTTTACTACGTGTCGTAGTAGTAAAGTAAAGTAGTAAAGTGTCACGTAGTAAAGAATAGCAGCGGCACACACAGAGGAAGACTACACAGAATAATACCTGTACAGTGTGGAAACAAGAACTAGCCGCTGCAGCACTTTAGACATAGGGCGAGTAACCCTAACAATTTTAAATTTTAAATTTTAAAATTTAGAGAAAATTTTAAAGGATTTTAAAATTAGAACTAAAGATTTTATAGTGCTACTACAGGAAAATCAAAATTAACGTGTGCAAAATAATCTATAAACCAGACAGGTATCAACGAAGTAGATGTTGATAATTACAAGGAAAGGAACAATGTGTTTTTAAAATATTAAATTTTAAACTAAGTGCAGTGTAACAGCAACGTGAGAGTATACACCTGATGATGGCCGTTTGAGGCTGAAACATGTAGTATAAAAGAGAGCAAGATCAAAGACATATAATATATTGTTTGCACTTGGGACGGAGTTTGTATCATTTATCATGTAGAGTGCAACAGGATGCTTAAATATAATAATGTATATACACACACACATATATAATATGTATAGAACTACTTGCCTTCATTTTCTTAGCAACCACATTGTGGGATAGGATTCTAGGTTCTAACTGATTTCGCTCACATCCCATTTTGTTTACCATCTCTACTCATCCTCACTTCATTCTTTGCTGTCTGACCTCAGCAACTAATTAGCATTGCTGAATAATATGAAAGTCTCTTATTATTAAAAATGTATTTTCAGGATGATACAACAGTTGCAGTCAGATTTTGAACGTACCATTGAGGGTTCAGGCTCAGCACAGATCAATACAATGGAGCTGTCTGGTGGAGCAAAAATTAACAGACTTTTCCATGAACGATTTCCTTTTGAGATTGTGAAGATGGAATTTGACGAGAAGGAACTCAGGAGAGAAATTGCTTTTGCAATCAGAAATATTCATGGTCAGCATTGTGTCTTATTTTTGTACTGTCAGAAAGTAATTAAAACAAAAGATGAATAATCAATGTCTTTTAATAGCATGTGCTTATTGATGCTTCTTTACATATATGTTTGTGATGTGTTTATAAGAAAGTTTTATTATTTTTAAGACTTGTTCTTGTTTTCCTTGATGTAGGGATGGTAAGATTAGGCTTCAGTTTTGCCTCCCTTTATGTTTGGAGGACATTAGTAAGATGTTAACATTAAATAAATTTATTAAGACTTTGAAGTAAAGGTGGTTAAGCTATCCTTGTCACAGTCCATGGAGGCCCATAGGGTTGTGAGATGTCAAGGCTACCACATTTTGTAGACCGTTAGCTAACAGATGGCGGTGAGGTTGAACCTTATGTGCTGGCCACTCTCTATCCCTAGGAAGGTTTCCTGGTACTCATTTTTCCTAGGAGCTGAGTTGACCCCAGGGCCATAATGTGGCTGAAAGGATTAGGTCAATGGAAATCAAACCCGTGACCCTCTGGCTTGTAGCATAGTGCCTCAACCAACTATGCTATCGTGTGCCCCATTAACCTTTAAATTGATCCCTTCTTCCTATACAGGTACATTTAAACGAGAAGGGCCGAGCTGTTTACTGGTATCTTAATTTTATACCTTTTTTGGAGTGTGTCTGTGAATGAACTGCATTATTAGGTCATAGATGTCTGCAGAATAGCATAAGGTTATAATTTGTTGATGAATGGTGAAACGTACCAAGGCCCAGGAATGAAAAGTGGTTTGGGGCAAAAAAAATTTAAACAATACACACACCAAATAAATATAATAATATAATTGGTCGAGTGAAAGAAAAATACAGGCTGTCCCAGATGAGGACAAAACAACGTAAAACAGTGCACCAACTCCGCTGATAATTTAGCAAACCTAAAAATGTTCAAGAGATAATTTGGAACGAGACGAGCACCACACTCTTCCACGGCGTGCAGCAGAATCCCCTTTCGGTTTTCAGATGACCCTGCTAGTCCCTGGTGAAAGGGTGAAGGGCGCAGGTGTAGGGCAGGAGGAGAGGGGGAAAAGGAATGAAGGGGGGTTCCTAGTTAAGGGACATGGCAGTAGTTTCTGACGTTACAATGGCTGGATTACTAGCTCAGTCTTAAGTATAAACTCCAAACTATCTTAGAGATGTGATATGGCTGTTTGGATAGAATGCCTGACCATGTCTTAGAGATGATATTCATTGACAATACTTAACTAGTATGTTCAGATTTCTGTAGGAGAGATGTGTTTCCATTAAGTATGACACATGAAACCTGTTATTCTGTTTAGATTGAATTTTTTCAAGTGCTTCTCAGAAGCATATAATCTATTAAACATTAATATGTAAAATTAACTGTTAGGAATATTTGAGAGTGTAGATGTGATTCTGTATGGGTGTGAAACTTGGTCTCTGACGCTAAGGGAGGAACATAGACTGAGAATGTTTGAGAACAGGGTGTTGAGGAGAATGTTTGGACCAAAGAGGGCTGAAGTGACAGGAAGTGACAAGCACTGAATAATCAAGAGCTTCATAACTTGTACACTTTACCAAGTATAATTAGAATAATCAGGTTGAGGATGAGATGGGCAGGGCAAGTAGCATGAATGGAGACAAAGAGGAATGCATATAGGATGTTGGTGTGAAACCCAGAAGGAAAGAGATCACTAGGAAGACCAAGATATAGGTGGGTGGAAAACATTAAAATGGATCTTAGACTAGAATGGGGTGGTATGGACTGGATCAGTCTGGCCAAGGATAGTGACCAGTGGAGGGTTGTTGTGAACATGGTAATGAACCTTCAGGTTGCATAAAATGCTGGGAAGTTCTTGAGTAGCTGCACAATTGGCAGCTTCTCAAGAAGTGCTCAGCTCCATGAAGTTATTTGTTCCCTGTGTAAGGTGTGTTTGGAGTTTTACGAAAGTGATGTCCATATAATAATGGTATGGAATTACATAAAAATTGTAGTCATTAATTTCCAGGTATCCGAGTTGGCCTCTTCACCCCTGACATGGCTTTTGAAGCTATTGTGAAGAAACAAATTGCCCGCCTAAAAGAACCTAGTTTGAAATGTGTAGACTTGGTAGTAGCTGAACTGTCCAATGTGGTACGAGTGTGTACAGACAGGGTAAGTGTGATGGTATTTGACACAACTCTTTAACTCCGTGGGGGAGAGTTCTTCAGAAGTTAATGTCATTTAGCTGTTGAAGTTCTCTGCCTTTTATATACAGCAAGACCTCAACACTGGACTCAATCATGCACCCATGAATATCCTTGCCCATTTCATCTTTCGTTTGATCAGCAGAATAATAATAGATGAAGAATACAGTTCAGAAGTTTCTCATATAATTTTCTCCATTTCCTAATATTTCATATGTCCAGGTACTTTCCTCATGACCTCCTCAGCCATCTTCAATCCATGTAACTTCACTTGTGGTTGAGAGACCAAGTTTCCAATCCATGTGGCACAAGAGGTGAATTCGTAGTTTTGAGTACTGTACTCTTTAAGATTTGTAGTAGTAGGCAGGAAGAGGAAGAATTCTAAATTGTTTGCAGAGAATTCTCTGAATTTAACAAAATATTCTTCTCAAATATTCAGATGTTTGCATTTCTGTATTATTTTGACCATTCTGTTGAAAAATTGTAAATATATATATATATATATATATATATGTTTTCCTTACATTTGCTTTTGATCCAGTTCCATTACTAAAGTTCAGTAGGGATTTTGCCAAATGTGTAAGCTGTATCGAACAGAATACCTGTTATAAACATGCTTGGTGATTTAGTGATTATATCATTAGGTTACTAAGATGACTGCTTAGTGGCCTCCGTAGTCTAGGGGTTACGTTCCCACCTCGTGACTCAAGGTATGCGGGTTCAGACCCGGTGGAGGTCGTGGAATTTTTAAGGGCGGAAAAATTCAGGGAACAAGTCCTCCGGGAGGGACTTTAAGCCGTGGGTCCTGTGTCGTAGCTTTATGGCACGTAAAAGAACCTCATGTCTCAAGGGGACCTCTGAGCCAAATTCAGGACATTTCCCGCCCAACAGTAGTCTCTAACGCCTCTGGTAGATGGGGGAAGCATCGAGATACCACTGAGCCAGTAGGGGCCGAACTCGTTGGCTGAGTCGGAACTGATGGCATGTGCCAGTACCGGTAGGTTATAGAGACTGGTAGAATATCACAGGGGGACGCACAATGGACCAACATTTGGTCTAAGTGCATGGGGAAAACCGACCCTCTCCAATAACAACAACAACAATAAGATGACTGCTTTCTCCCAATCTGCACTCTGCTTATTTCCCCGTTGTCAGCTTCATAAACCTAGTATTAAATTTTTAGTGACTAGTAGGAAGTGATGTGCTCCATTCTTCTTTGGGCACATTGACCAGGTGCCACTTCTGCTTCAATGTCTGTTACCTTTATGCTTGTCTATGTTCCAACCATTGTTTTGGATCAAGGCTATTTTAGATTCTCTTACTGTCAGAGGTATAGTTCCTCAGTATGTGTGTGCGTGTATATGGGTGAGTATGTGTGTGCGCGTGGATGCATGATAAAAGAGCAATACCCAATTTCAGATGTCAAGGTATCCACGCTTACGAGAGGAGACTGAACGAATAATAGCAACACATATACGTCAGAGAGAGCAGCTGTGTAAGGAACAGATCATCCTACTTATTGATTGCGAACTGGCCTACATGAACACTAATCATGAGGATTTCATTGGATTTGCCAAGTAAGTTATGTTATATGTATGTTTACAATAAATCACATGATTACTCCACTTAAGTTCTAGATAAATCCATTTAACACTTAATTTGAGGCAACTCTGCTTCTGGCTTACCTTACAGCTTGGCCATTTTTTGTAGTATGTATCTATCTGCAGTATTCACTGTAAAAGAAATGAATGGCATTGCCAGTGGTGTGGATAACCTTGTTTGTAGGCGCTGCTATCTGCCGTTAATTCCTAGGCGGGACTAGCATAGATCATTACAGATCTAGTGAGAGCTTTGTGGAGGGTCAGCTTAATGTTAGCACTTAACCACTCACTTTTGAATAGGGAATACAATCTTATAAGTGTTCTGAAGGCCTTGGCTTCGATCATTTCTATGTGCACTCTCCACGTAACCCTCCTTTCTTAGCCTTGGTGCGAACAGCATAGAAAACACCACTTCCAGTAGTTCCTCCATTGTTGTCTCCTCACATTGCTTAGCGATGGCTCTCGTATTGTTGCGTGTTTACGAAACCGTTACCTAGCAATGGCTATTTCTGTGGTTCCTTATTTTAGCTTATGTTCCTCATGTCGCAATATGTAACCTGAAGTTATCTTAAATTTCAGTGTGTAATGTTAATCTGCCTTGATCTGCCTTTGTGATTGTTTGGTCTTCATTTCCATATTCAAGCACAGGCCTTGTCAGAGTTTTATAAATGTTAAGTCTGGTATGTTTGCTCAAATGAATGTTTGAATACATGGCATATTGCTGTAGTTGTTTGTATAAATTCAGGTGTTTCTGATGGCGTGTTCTTAACACCTTCATTGATATAATGCAGGCCACATAGCTAAGTGTATTGACTTGTTCAGGATTTTTATTGGTGCAAATTTTGCTCCCGGTAGTATCTTTCTGTCATACTAGTGTCAGTGATTTTAATGGACATGTCAGCTGGAGCCAGCTATTTAATATGTAGCATAAAGTTATTCTTTTCATTTCACTTACTGTTAAAATGTACTTCGCAAATTTTTCAATCTATCAGCCTGTTTTTTAGTGACATATTTCACTAAAATGAATAAAAGAAAATTGTCACTTATACTTTTTTTGACCAAATAATGACTAACTCAGTAGCACCATGTATCATAGTCCTTGAGAAGCTGGTAGTTGCTCATCTTTTCAAATTTGCCACGTACTGTGGAACCCAAAGTTTATTACTATATTCACAGGAAGAAGTCACTGGACTGTATCTTGAGCTGGATGAATCCAGTCCACACACATCCTATTTCTTTAAGGTCCACTTAATAACATCCTCCCATCTGTGCCTAGGTCTCCCAAATAGTCTTTTCTCATCAGTTTTACTAGCTAAATTTTTGTATGCATTTCTTATATCCCATATGTGCTACATGTATTGCCCATCACATCTTCCTTGATTTGGTCACTCTAGTAATATTTAATAAATACAGACTGAAGCTTCTCGTTAATTTTCACACTTTTAAGTCTGAGTATCCTCTCCAGTACCCTGCTCTCAAACACCTACAGTCTCTGTTTTACCCTGCAGGTGAGACCAAATTTTATGCATATTTAAAAGAATGTATACAATTTGTATATTTTAATAACTGAATAATGTTATATAATTTTTTTTAAGTTTGCGTTATTTCTGCAAGACTGATGTATTCTTGTAGCGCACAGCAGTCATCAGAGAACTCTGTGAAGGCTGGCCGCAAGTTGGGAAATCAGGTGATCCGCAAAGGCTACATGTGTATACACAATCTGGGCATAATGAAAGGTGGTTCACGGGACTACTGGTTTGTCCTTACATCAGAAAATATTTCATGGTTCAAGGATGAAGAAGTGAGTGTCAGTTTAAATTTGACCAGTAATCAACTCCATACATACAAACACACAGAAATATAATTTTGTATTTTCAAGCCCTGTCCTAGAACTACTTGCTAGAAATGTAAAGGCTGTTTCACAGAAACCCCACAGTAGTTTCCTGAAATTATTTTCAAATAACAGCAGGTGAGAATTTGTTTTTCACTTTAAATACAGGCATCTCACACTTGATGCCATCCATCATCAGAAATCCTGTAGTAACTGATTAATAGCAAATTGATCTCTTCACCTATGACTGTTTTAATGCTAGAGTACACTAAGCCAATCTTAGTCAGTAAAAAGTAAAGTAAAGGTATCCCTGTAACAGGCCTTGGAGGCCCATAGGGTTGTGAGACGTTGAGGGTCCCACATTTTCTATAGATGGCGGTATGGTGAAGGTTAGTTAAGGTGATATGTAGTTTAATTTTGGGCTCCAAACTTTGTTAGGGCCTCAAATTCAGAGGAAAGTAGCGGGAAAGGAAAGCACTTGTCTGCACTGGATCCACTGGTAGTTGAGTCTACAAGATCTCCACTCTGTTGAAACAGTAGAGGCCTGTAGTTTATTGAGCAGAATAATCTGTTAAAAGTACGTGAATTTTGTGTGAACAGAGATGATGATGTAATTGCATTGTCTTCACAGAACCTACAACTGTCATTAGTATATATAGAGGTATTTATAAGAAAGGGGTTTCATCTGTGTCTAACTTGAATTACAGGAACGGGAAAAGAAATACATGCTGCCACTGGACGGCTTGAAGCTGCGAGATGTGGAGCAGGGTTTCATGTCAAGAAGACATACATTTGCTCTATTCAATCCTGAGGGAAGAAATGTATACAAGGTAAAGTACTGGTGATTACTGGATTTTTAATTGTTAAGACTTCATGAAGTTCATATTAGTAAGAACATTGTATAGAAGTATAAGGTTTTTTTTAACCCTTTGCCTCATCTATTATCAAAGTAGGAATTTTTCTGAGTATGCTATAGAATTGTAACACCTATGTAGGAAGTCCCATCTTTGAAGAAATTTCTGAAATATGTTCCTGATTCAGTGTGAAGTTTACATGTGTGATAGTTTAGTATGTTATGGGTTAGAACAAAGTGCCTAGAATAATGTTCGGGCCCGAGAGACTGGTAGTAACAGGAGGATGTAGAAAGTCTCTAATGAGTAGTTTCATAATTAGTACTTCACCAAACATTATTATGGTAAACAAATCAAGGAGTGTGATGTGGGAGGACATAAAGCATACATGGGGAGGTGAGAAATGCATATGTGATTCTAGTCTGGGAACCAGAAGAGAGGTGTCTACTCAGGACACCTGGCCATAAATGGAATGGTAATAATTAAAATGGATCTTAAATACGTAATATTTGGACTGCATTCACCTGGCTGACGATATGGTGCATAAGTGTGCTCTTATAAGGAGGGTAGATAACCTTTAAGTTCCACGTTAGGTGGGGAATTTCTTGACCAGCTCAGTGATTGTCAGCTTTGTAAGGAGTTAGTAAATAGTTTTGTAGGTATAACTCCTGCCCATTTACCAAGACTATGTGACACATACATACATCATTCTAGGAGATGTGTAGTAAAGGATGGAAATTATTGACTACTTTCAGATTCTTATAATCTGGATAATTGGAAAAAAATGCCAGCCAGTGGGTGGGAGGGAGGGAGGTATTGTTATCATTCTTGAGTTCCTTATAAAGTATAAAAAGTAGATTTTCTAAATAAGTGTAAAAACCACATTTTTGGGTCATGTAGTTGGAGTTTTGGTCCATTTGGTAAATGAAGGTAATATCAAGTCAGTCTTTTTTAGCATACGTTCCTTGTTTTGAAAAAAAATAAAAGTAGGCTTATGCAATCAGAATGCTGTTTTGTATCCCCCCTGAGCTTTTGAATGGCTGAACCAATCTTTACAAAACTTGGTATGAATATCATGGCACATGAGCCCATCTCAACAGTGTACTTCATAAATCCCTTCCAGCAGTTTGTGTGTGTATATGTGTTTTCCCCTGTCACTGCTAGGCAGTGGCTCAGTACAAAAGCCGTGGCAACAAATACACATGCAGCAGTGGAAGAATTATTGGATGCATTGTTTTCTATGCAGTCCATGTCGTATCAAGGAAAGTAGGTGATTAGTTCTTCCCAGAACTTCTTATCCTCTCACTTTGCCATACAAAGCATATGAGTGTACATAAGTTATTACACAGTTTGCAATAATATAATTTTTAATGAAAATAAACGTTTATACACTAAGAACCTCTGTCTCCTCACTTTATGATTGATGGAAATTATGAGAACACTAAGAAAAATATATGGAAGTACAAAAACAACTACAAAAACAACACCGTCTAATGTGACTATTTAAGTTTTATCATTTGAAGACTCATCAGCCTTACTTGTTTCGATCCCTACGGATCATCCTCAGAGGGCATCAATACTTTTTCAGAAACTACTATTATAATAGATGTTAATTATATACACACATAATGTCTGAAATGCACAATGTACACAGTGTTCAACCTTTCACATTCAAAGCAGCCTTCCTGGTGTTAAAACTTTTTTAAAAACCTTTCTAGTTCAAGCTTAAAATTTATAAACCGTACAGGTTCGTGTCAATTCTCCTGTTGTTATTCGTGGAGGTGGCTGATCCTGTGCCGCCTGTCTATCTTGCGAAAGGAGATTCTTAGTATTTCTGTGTTTATTTGTGGCCTGCTGTGTTGTTTACAAACAAAAAAAAATATATATGGAAGTAATTAGGCAAAAAAAATAATGTTTTGGCCCACAATTCAATACACTCAGTTGTGATGTGATGGAAAACTTTTGTATCCATATTTGGAATCAGCATGTCAGAATTAATTTAAAAAAAACGGTTTTATTTTGTTACCTGAACCGTTCTTGTCTAGTATTACTAACAGAGTAGTACTGATTGAAAGGAAATTGAACTGACGTGGGTGGAAAAGGTGAGATCTAAATTTGTAATTAGGCGTGGAATTCACCTGAATTATAAGGAATTGTCTCATGAGTTTTATTATGGTTACAGTGAATGGTATAAGTTATTATACTATTATTATATAAGGTTTACTATTCGAGCTGAATATATATGTTACAGAAAACATCAGTCTCTTGCAGGAACTGGTTGGAGGTTTTCAAAGGGCTAATGTCAAGAAGTTTGTGCAGATTGAGTTTAATATAGTTCATGCTTGTAAGTACAATAAAGATCTCTTTATAAAGGGCATGTTTTCTGTACTTTATCAATATTAGCTTTATTTTTATTGTAGGATTATAAACAACTTGAACTGAGCTGTGAAAATCAGGATGATGTGGATTCATGGAAAGCTTCATTTTTACGTGCTGGAGTGTATCCTGAAAAGTCTACAGAGCAGGCCAATGGGGAGGAGGTAAGAAACAGTTATATTCATATTCAAAACATGGAGATAAATTATTAAGAAGGAAATTTCCATGTAGTTATGTAAGAAATGCGAAAAAATATTTGCGCTGAAAGTTCTGAGAAATGCATTTCCAAAGAAGTATTAATTCATGCAAAAATAGGATTGTAAGTTGCCTTAATTCATGCAAAAATAGGGTTGTAAGTTGCCTTAATTCATGCAAGAATATGATTGAAAGTTGACAAAAATATGTGTTTGGATTTTTTCATACTAGGTTTTCTTTCTGATAATTAAAAAGATTATCCTGATTATATATAGTATACCTCTTTCTTTCTGAGTAATGACTATTAATGTAGATACTATGTTAATAAAGTTTTGCATTGTTGTCCACAAGAGATCTCAGAATAATATTACCACATTGCAAATGTCTGTATTGTGTCGTAAGTAAATATAGCAACATGCACCTAAGAACTGTTAACATTATTGTGTTACCAGAGTGCCATAAAAACAGTAATATAGCAGTTCTTGGCTGTGTGTTGCTGTATTTGCTTGCAATACATACGATACCATTTTTTTCACTGTCATATTATTCTGCGGCATTTTGCAGTTTTGAGCTGAAGAAAGGGAAATAGGTACCTGGAAACATATTTCACACATGTTATTCCCATTCCATGGAGGTTATGTGGTTCTATCCATTTCTGAACATTGTGATTGCAGTTATGGTTTTACAGCCTCAGTGTTGGATTAGTCAGTGTATAAAATGTAATGTGCCAACTACAAGTAAGTTTGCTGTTGGTAGTAGTTGTATTCAATTAACCTGAAGTGACCAAGAAATGGAAGTTGAAGTAGAAATCGCAGGCTGACAATTGTCACTTGTACCTTCCCTGTAAAGTATACTTAAGCCTTCTGAAAGCCATTTCTTTCCAGAACATTAAAAAAAAATCTATATTGTATCATTGTTCCTGTGGGTTTTGGGTATGGTAACAGATCCTCCTCCTACATGCATTCTGTGTGCGTATATATTGGCTTTCCAGGAGTTTGCAGTAGATGGAACATAATACTTTGACATAGAAATAAAAATTTGTCTTCCACTACTGTCTTCAGAGAAGTGTAATATTTTGTGATCCATCTGTTTAAATCATTAATATGCACAAACTGCATGTGTTCTCTCAGAATCTTCCTTCTTGGAAGTAATTTAATTTTCTTATAAACGTTTGTGGCTGTCCTTTGAACTGATGAGTTCTCTTTGTCTTTTCCTTGGTTTCACAAGTAATCGTTGATCTTCCTTTAACCCTTCCCAAATAATTTTATATTGTGCTGTGTGGGTTAGGTTGAGGGTTAATTTGATTTGTTTCCATAGGTGAGGGTAAGTGTTGTCTCTGAGAACGAGGAGGGTTCGAGCAGTGAGTCAACACAGAAATCATCAGATTCGGTGCTGTCTCTGTTTTGCTTGTTTTCTTAGTTTGTACATGTTATGTAATTTTTCTGCTACCCTCTGCATATAGGCTAACACATAAGGGAAAACATGACTTGGGTTTGTGCCAGAAAAGGGTCTCATGGACCTATACATGTGAAAGCAATTTCAGCCAAATTAATTCACATTGGAATAGATCTCTCCTCTTTCCTGCAGAAGAAAATCATTTCACAATGCCTTAGGACATGGGCCCTTTATCATGGCAAGATACTTTTTCATTGTTTTCTCTTGAGTCATTGTGAGATTAACTCTGCCAGACATTTTCCTTCCTGTTAGTAAGGTTAACATGTAGATTGATAAATTGTGAGATCATGCTTTTCCCTGCAGCTTATATGTTTTTTTAATACAAGAGTGACTAACAAATGTGATAAGAGTTATCAGTTTGAATGTACAGATGAACCTGAACCATATCCCATCCTTAAAAGCTGGACTGCTTATGATAATTTTAATTCAGACCTGGGTGTAGCATAGATTTGTGGCATATTAAACGGTTAATTGCTTCATACACCATATAATATTACTGGAGGAAACATTTAATTTTATTCTTGATAATGTATTGATTGTCTAGAGTTAGGTTAATAATACAGTATGTGCCAAAATATACAGTACTGAAATGAAAAGACTTCCTGTTAATACCACTGTCTATTCACGTGAAGGCCCCTTGCACAACAGAACCTTCTCAAATCCTGAAGAAATGGTCCGATCACCATGTCCTTGTAGCGTTCTTGGGTGATGGTAAGAGCATTGCCTTCTTCATCCTCAATGAAATAGTGGCCTAATATACCATGTGCTGAGACGGCACACCATATCGTCACACGTGTACTATGTAGCGGTTTCTGGACGATGACATCTGGCCACTCAAAACCAAGGAAGCGAGTTGTCTGGTGACCACTTCCGTATGAGCGGAAATAATACTCAACTATGAATACTTTTTCCTCCGTCAAGAGACCCATTTCCAACAACAATTGCACAACACCACTTCCTTTTCGCTACTGGGATCACGTGCGGTTGGAGCTATGCCCTATTGATAAATGCACATGCACGTTCGAGATGCACAAGTTTGAGTACTGAAGAATTTGGTACATACTGTATTATGTTGTGTTGAACTAGAGTTGGTGTTAATGCTGCAATAATTGCTGGAAGATCTTCTGATACTAATTGTGTGTTGCTGGGTGGTATGTACTTGATAGCTCAGAGTATTTCATGTGAGTTAGTTTAGTGCTACTCCTAATCCTGACACATTTGTTAAATCTTGGTGGAGGATGATTTCTATGCAGCAGACTACTTGTTTTAAATTGGGGGTAGGGTCAAGAATTTTCTCTTCTCCACATCGTCCAGACCATCTCTGGGGCCCACCCAACCTCCTATCCAATGGGTACCAGGGCTTTTTCCCCAGGGGTAAAGCAGCCAAGGTGTGAAGCTGACCACTCACCTCCATCTAGTGCCGAGGTCAAGAAAATGTGGATCTATACATCTATTCTCCCATACACCTTCATGGCATAATGCTTAATTAGTTAAGCACAGGGACAACTTTACCTTTTACCTTAAAAGTGACATGCCTTGAGCTTTGGGACTTCCATTGGCTCAGTTTTGTGTTATGACTATTTGCAAATGAGCAAGGTGCAACTACCATAAAATATGGTAATTCATTGTTTTTAATTACTTGAAACTGTATGTACCAAGTAATTTTAAGGAAAGTATTTTTACTAATTGAATTTCTCATGTGATATGTTCTTCATTGCCACAGCTCATGTTATTCTGTATTATATTCTTAAGAGTTAGCTAGTTTTTAATCCATCATTCCTGTTAGTCCATAGGATGCCAGTTCATAACCCACATTTGACACATACCTGCTGCACAAATTTTGAAAGTGGGGAGACATGGTGCTTTATTCTTTTTGTATTGTATTTAGTGTATTTATTTATGGTTCATTTAACTATGCAGTTAGTAGTTCAGGCTATATAGTATCAGATGAGATGAATATTATAGAAGAAACTTAGTAAGGAGAGCTGGTCTCCAGATTTGAACTTGGAACTTCCTGAATATGAAACAGGAGTGTGATTCACTCACCTGTGATATTCCATATGTTGAACATGATTATAACCATTGACACTTTGTATAGATGAGATTATCAAACCTTATCCTTGTATTATTCCTGATCTGTATGTATGCCTACTTAATGACCACATTTAGGTCTCATCATTTGCAGTGTCTGCATATCTTACATTGTAGTAAAATCCATACATCATTTTTTCAAGTACCTGCTGCAGTTTTGAAGTTCTCAGTGTAAGGTGGTACAGAATATTGTAATTGATCTTTGATGTTTGAATGTTACTAATTCTAAGTGGTGGTTTCTTGAGTGCAGTGCCAAATAGAAAAGCTGTATATGTGAGTGCTTTCAGGAATATAAGTGTGAAAGGAACTGAGAGAGTTGGAAGGTACTTAAATGCCTCTTTTAACCAGAAAGTTTCCATCTCAGTACTAACCATATTATCTTCATTGCCATTATAAATATGCGATACTGTAAGAGTTGTTATTATTCATAAACACACATCTCACATAATACAACCCTTTGTAGTGGCAGGAATGTTATAAAGTCTTTCATTAAAGTCTCTTTTGGCGAAATAGGACAGGGTTCATAGTGTGAAGCATTCATTCATTTCCTTTATTTTCCATATATCTATACAGGCAAAAATCCTAAGATGTGGAAATAGTCCCTTTGATAATAGATGTATACATGTAATAAATTACATAAGTCACACAACTAAAATAATAACAATAATAATAATACACACACTAGTCAAGTAACATAGGCAATAGAAAAAAAAGAAGTTTATTACAATTGTAATTACTAAACATAATTTAAAAAGTGCATTACTGTAAAACCTTAGAATTAATACAGTTTCACTCAGATTACCCAAATAATTAAATACTTTCTTTATTTCATTTTCCCATAAATAAAAAAACATTGATACAGGACTCGTCATACATACATACACATCCTCCACTTTCCATAAACATCTATACAGGGAACAGACCCAGGATGCGGAAATAGTCATCAAACACATACACAAAGTAACACAAATCACACAAGTGAAGAGTGACATTCAGATGTAGTTACTGTCTTGCTTGTGCCTTAACTGAAGGGCTAACCTCATGGAAACATACATTCATTTCACATGGTGATCCCTCAGCTGATATTTCATAATGTTCAAAGCGTTCAGTTACAAAGTAAAAAACTGGAGCAAAACATTTGACATACTTTCTCATATAAGTTCAACCTTGACTGTGTTACCTTGGAAAAGAAAAATACTCCATGGCATGTAGTCCACAAGTGAACTATAGCAGCTGAGTGACTGCCACTTGTCAGCGAAGTTAGTGCGTACTTTTGTGGATAGAGGGTGTTGTGTGGTCAGTGCAACAGATCCCCGCGGCTGTTGGTCTTGGTTTTCTAGACCAGAGTTACCTTGGAAACAAAGTTGATTTTTGTTCACTGAGTATACAAGTTAGGACACATACCTATGAGTATCATGTAATCTAGTGCCTGTGTTATTTTTATGGCAGTTTTATTTAGGGTGATGGTCAGGCCGCGCCATAGCTCAAGTGGTTAGTCGCTGGCTTCCCACTGCGGCGGCCCAGGTTCGATCCTGGGCCTGGTCAAGTGGGATTTGTGTTGGACAAAGTAGCACTGGGGCGGGTTTTCTCCGAGTACTTCGGTTTCCCCTGCCAGTCTTCATTCCACCAAATTCTCCATCATCATAATCAGCTGGGGCAGGCTACAGTAGGCCAATCAGTGGCCGCCATACTGAGTGGACCCAGTTGGACTCCACCCCCCACTAAGCGAATTAAAAAAAATTAGGGTGACGGTAAAAAATTACTGAGATTTCAGCAGTGTCATTTGAGCCAGTTTTGGGAAAATTAGTGTCTTGTGTTTTGGGGCCTTTCTGAAGGGCCCCTGGTTTCTGAGACTAAAATCTACATATGCATTGGTACTGATCTATGATGGATAAACTGTTGTGAATATCATCTAACCATTCAGATGCTCACAAGGGGGCACAGTCATGCATCCACACGTACATACATACATGCACGCACACGCACACACTCAAAAAACACACACACAGTATTCTAAAACCAAATTTTGCATTCAGTAGGGCTCCAAAGGTGTAAGTCCGTCAGTTGTCCACATAACATTTTTTTGCTCCAGCACAGTACGTTCTCCTTTATACTGAATATATGAGAAAGTGGAAAGAGTGCTGTACCCATATATCCCATAAATTGTTTTACAGGTTTGTCAGAATGTTGTATGGAGGACTTTAATTATTGGGCACTTCCTGTGTTAAGTTGTATTGATCTAAACATCAAAGCTTAGTTTACACAAGGACATAAATCGATTTTTACATTAGCCTATAAACCATTCTGTGGGTTATGCTGAAATTTGATTTTGAGAATTATTATGCTGCTGAAATATTACTTTCCTCATTTTATGAAATATATGTTGTGGTTTTACTAAAATACCATTTATAAACTGGCTTCACATCAACCCCATAAAGTACTAGGAATGTAATTGGGAAGTTTGTATATGTGTTATGGAATACATACTTTCCAGTCTTTTTTATTTTGGTATTACATAAACTGTTGGCATAATAGTTATGCAGTGTTCTGTATCCCTTTCCCTTTAATGTAGTAATGTATAACATTCAATATTATGCTGATGCATACTTGTTGCTGTGTATCATCCTATGTAACCACAAGAGGATAGTCGCAGACACATGATTCATCTCTAGTGCATGGATTGTATATTGTTATAAGTACCCTGAGCTCTCTTTGTGATCTGAATTTTCCTTCTCCCTTTAAAAGAATATGCCCCCTCCCCCCAAGAAATATTTTATTGCTGATGTATGTATTATTAGGTGCTGTATCAGATTAACAAAACATGAAACATATTAGCTGTTTATGTAGTGCAGTATATGGCTTTAGTGATTAGACCCTTGTGGGATTTTTTAATATCATTTGTGTTACGTCTCATTGGCAATTAGCCGGACAAGTGATGTCCAGTTCCAGGTGTGGATAGGACTTCTGTCTATGCTGCCATGTCCAAATCAGTTCAGGGGCCTGCTCGGTATTGTATTCAGTTATATGTAGAGACTTTTTTTTTTCCTGGTATAAAATGCCTGGAGTGTGAAGCTGACTGCTTCCATCTGTTGCTTTATTTATTTATTTATTATTATTTTTTCTGTTGATCCATACTGGTACAACCACTGGATATAGAAAAGTCAAAAATGAATACAACACTATACAATATTAATAATAATAATACATGCAGTCATTAAAAGTTTTTGTCGAAAAAAATAAAAATAATAGAACACTGTAAATATTGATACAGTGATGTTAGTATTACCATCAGAAATACTTACCTAGTTTTATGCGTAAAAAATTCATCCACAGTATAAAAAGAATGCTCTTGTAAATAAATTTTAATGCTTTTTAAAGCTTTCAGTATCACTTGCCAGGTCCTTAATGTCAGCTGGAAGATGGTTATATATCTTAACGCCTGCATAGGCAGGACTTTTATGAAACCTCAAGTGAGTTGTTACTTGAAAAAATTGGAATTATTCCTGTTATTAAAATTATGAATTTCAGAATTTTGTCTAAATAGTAACCATAAACAGAGCCAAGGAGAGTATGTACTGGGATGCTGGAGGTAGTGTATTTAAAATTTTAAAAAATTTTCTGCAAGAATCCCAGGGTCTTGCTTCCATTAGTATTCTAACCATTCGCTTTTGGAGTTTGAAAATATTCGTACTATGGGAAGAAGTTCCCCAGAAAATTAATCCATATGTTATATAACTGTTATGTTAAGATTACAATGTGTTTAGTTTTTCCTCCACTGCTTCATGCATATGTATGGCATATGCTTAAGCACATGGACAACTTGGAAGAAACTGAGATTACAGTCTAGATATGCTATAAGAAGGATTTCACTTGTGAGGTTGTAATGACACAGTGATCTTTATAACACCGAAATTTTTCCCAGGCTATCATGTTACTTTCCATTTTCATAAAAATTGTGTAATTTTAGCATACGTACAGAGTTCGGAAACTACATTGAATGGTATTAATGTTTTCCTGACCTCACATTTACACAGCAGTCATGTTAGTGTTATTTAAGATGTAGATAAAAATACTAAAATGGTGTAACTTGAATGGTATGCTGCTTATTCGAAGTTTTATGAAAATCATTTATTTGAGAATCTGCAACACTGATGTGTGTAGTTGAATTAGAGGACAGGTAAATGGGTGAATACACATGCAAATTATTGGTAGGATTCTGAAGAAGGATCCCAAAAACAGTACCTTGGGTCTGAATGTTTTATCTCATTATGTACATCATCATCATCATCAGTAATCTGTCAAGACGACAGGTCCACAGTCTCTTTCAAAACAATTCCTCCACTTAATGCGATCTAGAGCTTTCTCCTTCAAATGACAGTATCCTCTTCTGTCCCCAAGGTCATCCAGCATCTTCTTACGTCTTCTTCCTTGTCTTCTTGTCACTTCTATCCGCCCATCTATCTTTCCTTCGATAGCTTCTTTTAGAAGGCAGTTTCTGTGTGAAACATGACGAATCATTATGTACAGTAGAAATTAATGCAGACCAAGAAATGTATGAATATAAATCATTGTTGCAGTATGTTACCATCTGTTTTCAAAGAAGCTGACATACTCTTTTGTGTTTTTTTAATCAATCTCAATCTTGCAGGAGGGATACGAGGTTTGTGAAAGTGCGAGGTTTTCTTTTTATCAGTATTATGTTGAAGACTATAAATCAACTTCAAGTAGTGTCGCATGATGCACCTATGTACTCATTGAGATAGCATTTGGCACCCCAGCATATGCCTTGGGAGTCATGAAATAAATCTAATGCTTGAAAATACTGAAGTTATGGTATGTCTTATAGAAAATTTAGTCTCTTCCTGCATGATTACTATGTTGTAGAAACATGGTGCATTAAAACGTTTGTCTTGCAGCAGATTATATAAAATAAATATTCTTGGTCCTGTTGAGCCATTTGTACAGGTTAGAATACTTTTGTAGAGGAAATATGTGTAACAAAATGGAAAACTTAGGATCCAATAAATTTGTTATTTGGAGGTTTAATTGTACTTGTTTTGCTGTGTCTTTGTAATTTTTTTTATCTTTTATCTGTCATTTGGATGACTTTTGGTTAAAAACCATTGGTCTCTAAAGGTTATGAAAATGTAAAAGAACTTTAAAGTGAATAATTTTGTGACCATTGTTATTCTCTGGAGTAATAGACACAGAGATGGAAGTCAGAAAAGTATTGTTTCTTGGCTGTGAAATTCACTGCATTTTGGGTTCTCTTGGATTAGTTTAATCTTTTGTTGTAGGTCCTTAGACCTTGATTATTATTCCTCTGTTTATAACAGAAACTTACATACTAATGGATTGTGGGTAAAATCCTTTGAAGGGGGTAATTTTTCAACTTTAAGTCACTCATATTTCCTTGAACAACTGCACTGCTACTGCTTTTTTTTTGCAAGGCTAGTAAGACTCATAAGTTGAACGTATTTATGGGATCTCAACAGCCATCTCAGTTATGATTCATGCAGTAATTTATAATGTGAAAAGTTGAGATGCACAAGTCCTATTAACATAGAATGTGCTCAGGAGATTTTATATGTATAACAACAAATCCTGAGAATAAGTGTTCTGAAATTGAAATTTATTGGCAAATGCTGGGGAAGTTCCCTAAAATTAGTACGACTAATCCAACACATTGTATTTGATATTACACCTTGTCATTTTTCACCAAGTCTTATAACCAGCAGCACTGTGTGTACTGAGTCAAATTCCTTGCATCCAGCACATGATTGTGCTGATTCAAGAATCAAACTTGTTCTATATTTCAGTTCTTTAGTTCAAATTTTCATGTTTGCATGAATTGTTTATAAATCTAAATCCACTATTGTAATGTGTCTGTGATTTCTGAATTGAAAACATAGTGTGAACAAAAAATACTGCAAAGTTATAACTCACAAAGTAAACTTTTTGTTAAGAGTTCCATAATGGATAATGAAAGCAGTGTTATAGATAACTACTTTGTGTCTCATATATGAATAAGGCTGACAATGAGAATAGTAAAATTGTAGTTCCCCTTCTCTTTTATGCTGAAAATCACAGTACAGTTTGGGCCCCAGTAGGGTTCTTGTGCATCATATGTAGGCAGTTATTTTTACTGACGGATTGGGTGAGTCCATTTCAAAATTGTTGTAGACAGGAGAGCAACATGAGAACAATTTTGCAGTTAAATTGTAATTTATAGATGGATCTATACTGAAATATGTAAGAATTGCATTACTAATGATCAGTTTGGACAGGGTATCATAAGCTCTGATGTTTGTAAGGTGTTAAGACACATGTAGACTTACCTCAGAATGGTCTTTTTGTCTGTCTCACCCATTTATAGGTAGGTCCACTATACCAGTGAAAACAGTAAATATGTGTTCCTTGGACCTCAGAACTTGAATTTCCATTAAAATGTAGTTTTATTTATTTTATTTGTATTTTTGCTTGTAACATTACTACCTATGTACTGTGTTTGAGAAATGAATAAATAAAGGGCCAGTTTATTATCTCAATAATGCCATAGGCTTCACAAAATTTTGTGTGGGCCCTTCTTTGTGATGACTTGGAACCACTGAATCAATTTTTATTAAAGTAGTCATTGGTGACTTTTACCAAAATCTGTTAACGCATTCCAATTTTGTTTAAATTTGGGTGGTAGTAACAGAGGCTTTACATTAGGACCTGTGTGCATAATGTGCAAAACTATGTAGGTCATACCGAAAGTCATGAGCAACTTTCTTTTGCATGCAACCTGGAAACAGCAGATGAAAGAGAGTATGGTGGTAGGTGGAACCAGCTGTTGTGTTAACCTTGAGTGTCTTGTGATGTCAATAGCTTGCATCACATGACGAGTATCACTCCTAACAAAATGGCCGACAACGATATGTCGTTTCACCAGCGCGCTGTCATCGAATTTCTTGTGAAAGAGGAAATCCCTGCTGCAGAAATTCACCAGAGACTTCAGCGTGCCTATGGAAGTGTGTGCATGGGTGCGAGCAGTGTTCAAAAATGGGTGAAACATTTTAAAGATGGGAACACCAGCATCGAAGATGAGCCTCGGAGTGGTCATCCTCGAGCAGCCTCAACTGAATGCAACAAGGAAAGAGTGGATGAGATCATTCAAGATGACAGGCATGTGACTATGGACACAATAGCCTGAAAACTTGGAATAGGGTACAGTGCAGTACAGGAGATGATTGAAAGCTTGGGCTATAGGAAAGTTTGTGCTCGCTGGGTCCCACGGTTACTGACCGAAGACCACAGAGGTCAGTGGAAAGCCATAACCTCAACAGCTGCAGAGATATCAACATGAAGGCGATGATTTTTTGCTCTGTATTGTGACAGGTGATGAAAGCTGGTTTCACCATTTCGAGCCTGAAACGAAACGGCATAGTATGGAATGGCACCATTTGCATTCTCCATCAAAAAAGAAGGCAAGGACAGTGCCATCAGCTGCGAAGGTGATGGGCACAGTCTCCTCGGATGCAGAGGGGTTTATTCTGGCCGAATTCCTGGAACCTGGGCAAACCATCAGTGCTATTCGTTATGTCCAGACGCTGCACAAGCTCCGTCGTGCATTGTGCGATAAAACGTCTGGGACAAAACATCATCATCCTGCATGACAATGCTCGCCCCCACGCCACTTGTCTCACATTGGAAGCAATTGCAAAGATGGGGTGGGAAGTTCTTCCACACTCCTCCTATAGCCCTGATCTGGCACCCTCCGACTACCATCTTTTTGGATTTGTGAAGGATCAGCTGCGTGGACAACGTTTTGAGACAAGGGAGGCAATTCAGAAAGCAGTGCGTCAGTGTCTTCAGATGGCTGGAACGGAATTTTACAGAAGGGGAATTTTCCAACTCCCTGAACGGTGGGAGAAATGTGTACAAAGAAGTGGCGATTATGTGGAAAAATAAAGAAAGGTCTGTAGATTGAGGTGGTGTATTTGGTTTGTCAATAATAAAGCATGTTACTTTACAAAAAGTTGTTGCTCATGACTTTCAGTATGACCCTCTTATTTAATGGAATACAAATGTTATGAATAACACTTGTGGAGGAAAATGAAATCCCCAATACACTTATTCCATAAGTCTTTCTTTTGAGACAATTAAAGATAAGGGAACAAGGGTGCCACAGTTTTTATGCTATGCGTTCATTTCTTAATTTGTTTATTCTTTTGTACAATTAAGGACAAGAATTATTCAACTGTAGTTGTAACTGTGTGTTTCCTGTTCTGTACTCTCACTGCAAAGGAAATGCTTGCTTACACTGTAGCATGTTTTGATGTTTCAGCCTGATAACAAGCCTTCATAGTACTTGCAGCATTGAATTAATAGTATAGTGTAAATAGCACATATAAATATGAATATTATTTTAGATAGACAATAGTGTATTAAAACATGCTTTAGTTCGATGTATTACAGTAAACTCCTGATATTTCAGTATCCAGGCATCCATAATTCTCTTGCAGTCAGCAGAAATTTAAAAGAAAATGTAGCATTTTTATAAAGTTACTTGCTATGCGCATATGTTCACTCATGTTGTGGTTCTCCAGTCTGCCACTAGCAGTGATGTCCTTTGTCCTCCCTCATGCAGGTGCTATTACAGTAGGGGCTAGTTGAATTTGTGATCCATTACAGTGTATGCAAACCTTTCACCCATGAATTTTTATTGTTCTTCTCTTTCACTGTATGTTTAGTACTTTATAAGCTGTCTGATGCTGCTATACTGGCTTGTTTATTAGGCTGTGCTGTATTGGGCTTCTGTCAGTTTCATCTGACTATCAAATTCCATTCCCCATACATGCAAATAATCGGGAGTTTACTGTAGTTAGTAATTTTGAAATTGTTATATTAGAGTTGTTATTAATTGCTGCTGAAAAAGTGGGAAAACTATTTCCATAGTATTGCATACTAAGACCAGAGTCATTACATTATTTGATATGTTCAAGAAAATATAGTACATTTAGATCATGTACATATAATTCACATTAGGTGCAGGTTATGCAACAAACTGTGTTGATGTATTGAATTTTGGTGGGTTTAATTTACATTTCAACCATTTGAACTGAAAATAAATTTTAAGCTTATTGAGGTGATTTTATGTAGAAATTGTTTGTTGAGAGCATTATTTTCTTTACTGATTACTGATATTTTATCACTTTTTGGGGCTTTGATTTTTCTGAGTCGTTCAAGAATGGTCCTGAATATTACTTCCATTGTATTGTCAAGATTTACTTGGGGCTCTGATTCTTCCAGGTTTCTGTATGCATATATCCACTTAGATTTTTGCAGTTATTTCTGTCTTAAACATCTTCTGTATTGAGTGTCACTTGTTTTTATATGTAAAGAAGTTAATCCGATCCCAGGTTATATTTATTGCATGATTTCAAAGAAGTATCTGTGTAGCAGAAAAATGAACTTGCAAGCTCAGCTTTTAAGGTTTTCTTGAGAATTCTTGATGTTTATTGCATGATTTGAAACTAATGTACATGTAACATGGGAGGGGGGGGGGAAGAACCTGCAAACTCAGTTTTTAAAAAATTTATGAGAATTCTTGATTCACATAATGTCAATCCATCAATAAAATTATTACAATTTATGGCACATTTAATTTATGTGCTGTTTCTTCAGTCTTGAGTATGTTTTATGTTTATAAATACATATCTGTTGAAACCAATTCCAGTGCCCATGGGTGCATATGATCTTGGGCTAGGCAAATAGTGAGGTGTGGGTTTGGATCCTGACCAAGGAATTTGTGTGTCATGAGTGTTTTTCTAATCTTCACATATGTTGTTGAGGACCATAATCCCTTGATAGACGATTCTGCCACGGACTGTGCAGCCCAGATAACATCTTAATAGTTTATTTATATCACACCAAAATATGTACATTTGTTCACAGTTTTACAAAAGCTGGAGTCATGTCAGTATGACTCTTTTCTTTAAAATCTTTTCAGGCATACTTTGTTAGAAGAAAATACCATTATTTTCGTGATGGTTGGCATAGATGAGCAGAAGTTGTTCATTTAGTTTTTGTGTTTCAACTATGTCTACTTGCACTGAAAGTAACAGTGCTTAGGATCTTCATGAGTATATTGAAAAAACTGAAATTTTAGTGATGTATTTGGTGAACCAATGTAGTCGTCATTTATTTATTTGAAAATAACGCCATATTTTATATTGGTATGTTTTTGTAATTAACATTTTCTATGCATGACTGTAATTTCATAGGATTTTACTGACACCTAGTGATAAATGTATTTGCAGTACGTCTTATTGTTAGTGCCTGTATACACAATTTATATTAGTAGATATTGTTAAAATAAAATGAATATATTGGTAAGCTGATGTTTCTCTTAATTTCTCCAGGGTGGTAGTGAAAGTAGTTCATCAATGGACCCACAACTAGAACGTCAAGTGGAAACAATACGTAATCTTGTTGACTCTTACATGAAGATTGTTACCAAGACCACTCGTGACCTTGTACCAAAGACAATCATGATGCTTATCATTAATAATGCGAAGGACTTCATCAATGGTGAACTTCTGGCACACCTATATGCTTCAGGAGACCAGGTAAGGGTAATTCATTTACCCCCTGATTTGGTGGAAGTGCTGGTTACACTACCAAACAAACAAAACAAACTCCATGGTTTTAGTCTGCAAGTGAGTTATACTGACCAAGTGACCGCTGCTTGTTGGCGAAGTTAGTGCCAACTTTAGTGAATAGCGGGCCTCGCGTGGTCAGCACAATGAATTCCCACTGCCGTTAACTTCAGTTTTCTAGACTGGAGCCGCTATTTCCTTGAAATTGCTACTCATTTATCCTTGTGAGGCTGAGTGGACCCTCTTCCAGGCCCATTATAAAATCTGGTAGTGCCGAGAATCAAACCCACACCTCTGGATCTGTAGCCAGGAAATCTGACCACTAGACCACAGAGGTGGTCGGTTACACTACACCACTAAGATTTATTGTATGGTTAAGTACACTTTTTTTTTAAACAGGATTTTTCATAATTGGCCAGTAGTTTAGTGGATTTTGGATTTTGTTCTGTTCTGTTGTAAATTGGACACTTTTAACTCAGGTAATCCATTTGAACTTCATGACTTTTATGCCGTTCACAAGCATGTTATTGTATAATGTATGGGTAATGCTCAAAATAGTAGCCGTTGGCCGCTGTGCAAGTCTGCCAACGTTGCTATAGCTGCCAGAAACATTGCTGAAACATATTGGCAGGAAATTCCTGTATGGCATCTTTTGTGGCTTGGACCACCTCCTCTGACTACTGAAATCTATGACCACGTAGCTTTGCTTGCAAGCGGTGAAAGAGAAAGAAATCGCATGGTGCGAGATCAGGTGAGGACGGAGGGTGTGGCAAAACGGTGACCTGTTGCCTTGTCAGTTCCTCTTGGACAAGAACAGAGCAATGTGCAGGGGCGTTGTCATGTAGCAACAGCCAATTCTTCCTATGCCAAATGTTTCGCTAGGGGATTTGCCTAGTTTTTGGCAGAACTTGATGTTTGCCGTTGTTTAAACTGCCACATTTTCGATTTCTGCCACTTGCATTTAACTGCAGTTCACAATAGAGGTTGTAGTTCTACTTACACTGCACACAACTGCCTCTTGATGTGACGAGAGATGAACTGACAGGGCATCATATTGTGCCTCAACCTATCCGCTGTAGTGCACTGCAATGACGCTTTGCGGCCATTCTACGAACTTATTGACTGTGATAGTATAAGTGTATTATATGTCACTTTATTATTATATAATAATAATTTGACATAAATTCAGTTAGAGCAACTGCATGGGAACATACATACTAATGGGGCAATAAATATAACAATGGTAACACCACATTGATATTCACAGGGCTATACAAAACAACACAAAAAACATGTGCATGAAAAGCTAAAGCGTGATGTTCTGAAGCAAGTGTATTTTGATGAGTGAACAACGAAACTGGAATAACACTGGAATATTTTAACTTCAGAACTAATGCAGTGTAGCAGTTTCAACAACTGAACAGCTGCCTGAGGATGGCCAAGTATGGCCGAAACATGTAGCAGTTTAATTTTAATCTAATATTATTCTGAATAAAGTAGTAATTGTAAACAGAGTTGCATTAAACATGGAAGTGTGTGTGCAAAAAGACTGTTTTATTATAAAAAAAAATTGTTATGGAAGTTTTTTGGTTAGTCCTTTTGATTTCTAAAGTAACATTATATAGTGTGTATATCTGTATATAACTTTTGTTTCTTGGAACAGGCACAGATGATGGAAGAGAGCCCAGAAGAGGCTCTGAAACGCGAGGAGATGCTACGGATGTACCATGCATGTAAGGAGGCCCTTCACATAATTGGTGATGTATCAATGGCTACAGTATCAACTCCAGTTCCCCCACCTGTTAAAAATGACTGGCTAGCTTCAGGGTTGGACAATCCAAGGTAATTGTCTCCTTGTAATGAAATGTTGCGTAGTGTAGAAAAAAGTTCTTAGTTTTTAATCTTTTTTATATGTTAACCCTTTACAATCAGGGGCACGTGGTAGTGTAGTTGGTTGAGGCACTATGCTACAAGCTGGAAGCTCATGGGTTCAAGTACTGATGAGGTCATTGGATTTTTTCAATTGACCTAATCCTTCCAGCTGCACTATGGCCCTGGGGTTGACTCAGCCTCTAACAGAAATGAGTACCAGGAATTAATTAAATAATTTTCCTGAGGAGTAAGGTGCTGCCGGCTCTTAAGGCCGACAACTTTACTGCCATCTTTGAGCTGATTGTCTAGATAATGTGGGACCCTCAATGTCTCTCAACCCTATGGGCCTTCGCGGCCTGTCACAGGGATAGGTTTACCTTTCCTTTACTTTTTAACCCTTTCCAGTCATCGCATTAATAGAAATATCTCCAGCCAGAACATGAAGGTGATTTAAATGCCCGCAGAGTCACTAAGTGAACTGTTGTGCTTGAAAATTTGGTGCAGCAGAGGCATAAAGTGAAGAAAGTAAAAAGCGTGCTTAGAAGGACAGTACAAGAAGACAAATTCTCCACTTTGTAGGTGTGTATGACATCAGGTTTGTGAAGAGAGGCAGTGTTGCTTCACTATTCTCTAGTACAAAGTATATGCATATTCCTCTCTTCTTATAACTGTCACTTAATCTTCTGTGTACACAAACAGTAAAATCCAAGAAACTATGGGACCTACACTAAAGCTTTTGAAGTTTTTGAGAGTGTGAAGCTTATTCTGCAGGACACTTGGCAGGTTGATTTATGCAAGTCTGACAATAGAAATATTTCTTTTCTGGCTCCCTTGATCTTTCTGTTGCTGCACACAATGTTGTCTTTGTGTTTCTTCATGTCATAATGGTAAGGGGATTGAGGCGCTGTATTCAGTCTTATAATCTCTGCTGTTCCTGGATGTGACCTCTTTCTTGGGTTGCACACATCACCTACTAGATTTTCAGATTTTCAGCAAGAGCTCGCTTTCATTTCGCAACTGAGATATTACACCACCTATTCCAAATGAACCTCATGCTTAGCTGAAGTTTTGCAATTTTGTCTTTCGCATATCTCTTTGTTTCTATAACACTTATTCAAAAGCTCATCATTGAAAAATAAACTAAAATAATCCATGGGTTCTGCATTTTGCAGAAGTTAAATTGTGGCCCTGCATTCTTAGTGCATGTGAATTCCTTGTGTTTCTTGTTGCCCAATGTCACTTCTTTCCACCCACCAGTACTCATGCCAGTTGTTTAATTCTGACTCTCACTTTCTGACTTTCTGTTGCTTGATTCTTCATTCACAGTTTCTCCTTTGTTTTCCAAATCCATCTCATCATCAGGGTCAGTATTGAGCTCTGGATTTGCCATAACACTAATAGTTTCTTCATCTGCATCACACAAGGGATCATTTTAGATTTGTTGAAAAAGACTATTTCAACTTATTTGTAAAGAGTCTGTCTGTGAGACATTAGCACAAGAAACGTATTTTATGCTGTCTTTCAAACAAAGACCAGAATGCCATCCCAGACTGGGAAAACATCAGCAATGAAGGAATTGCAACTGTGTTGGAATTTCAGCATACAGAGCGGGTTATAAATGATAATTATGCTTTTGAGCATTTTTTTAAAAAATCAAAGCTGTCTATATCATTGAAATATTTTAGGACATAAAAAAGAACATTCAGCACATGCTGTCAGTGAAGGGTTTTGCATTTTTGAAAATATGTTCCAAAAGTCATATGCAGTTCTCATTTTAAATACATTGTAACATTTCATGCTGAGTGCATATCACTTAATTTTAAGAGGTTCTAAAAAGTATACCGTTATGCATATTGTTGGACAGATTTTGAGCTAGTTCAATCACAACCTCTTTATATAACATACATTGTTGGGAAAGGTTGCAAAATAAGTAAGGAACTATTAGTTTTATTGAATCCATCTGCCCACTAGTAGCAGTACCCATGCTGTGCAGCTGGTTTTATTCATTAGGGCTGAAATTAAGGTATTTGACAGATTTTAATAATACTTGAACATTATGCACATCTGTTCTATGTTTTGTATTGTGTTAAGTTTCATTCACTTCATATCTGTTTAAGTGGAAACATGAACTTATCTTTTCAGGTTTTGTGTGTGTGTTGTGTGTGGTGGCATCTCTGGCATGTAACACTGTATAATTGCTAGATAGGTATGAATGTTGTGGAAGAACCTTCAGGCTTTGCCTTGTGCCATGAAGATGGAGGTGTCAGGGTCCTCTTAAATGAGGTACCTATCAACCAAACTACACAGCATCACAACCTACAAAACTGTAATCCTCCTATTCACTGCTGTGAGGACCCCAAGCCTCAATTGACATTTCTGTTATATTAATGTTTATGAATTTCATTCCCTTGAAGTTGTTTTAAGGCCTGAATACACATCTTGTATATTCCTTGAATATTCACCTCAGAGAAAAATGTCTTGAATTCATATTTAAGTGATCTGTAAAATATGCATCTTTTGTCTTATGGAATATTTATTTAAAAGTGATTGATTTTGAGAAAATAACTGGTATAATAACATATCCTACATTATATGTTAAGTTCGTGTCATTGAAGGCATTGTCCAAGCCCCTGTTATTTCCTTGCCACGTAGCTGTTGTCAGATCAGTTTCTAGTGCATATATTTTGACAGCAGACAGACGTAATGTGTAAATGAAACACATTTTTAATGCTACTTAAAGTGCAGTTGCCTGTTGTGTCCATAACTACTTGTATATTACCTCTATTGTCCTCCACAGTCTTCCAAATGGTCACTGTGAAAGATGTTTCACCACAAAAATTCCGTTTGCTCTTCTTTCCTTTGTTTGCAGTACATGTACAGCCCATCATGACCTAATATGGTTGCACAATAATATTTTATGAATTAATTTGTTATATAATATCCTTCATTCTACAACTCATCTCTTTTAGATCAGTACATTTTCAGATACTTCCACAGTGAAAGAGCTGAGGAGTTCAGAGTGAATACACCCATCATACTGTGAGAAGAAGATATGCCTCTCTATAATTGCTCCCTCTTCCTTGTAGGTTGTCTCCACCCTCACCAGGTGGTCCACGCCGAGGGATGCCTATACAACCTGTTACAGCTCCTGGGTCTCGAGCACCTCCTCCACCTCCAGCTACTGGACGTCCTGCCCCTGCTATTCCTAATCGCCCAGGACCTGATATGAGTCAGCGTATGCCACCTTCATTGCCAGGGCGACCACAATCTGCGGGTCTGCCACCACCACTCATACCTTCGTGAGTAGACAGACTTTATATTGTACGTACTGTATTGCTTGATATGGACAGTCTTCACAAGAATCATACAAGGTCTGATAGGAAATGTTTGTCTCTTAGTATATATTCATCAGTAATCTGTCAGACGACAGGTCCACAGTCTCTTCCAAAACAGTTCCTCCACGTAATGAGATCTCAAGCTTTCTCCTTCAATTAAAATATCCTCTTCTGTACCCAAGGTCCTCCAGCATCTTCTTATGTCTTCTTCCTCATCTTCTGGGCACTTCTATCTGCCCCTCCGGTTTGTTTTTTTCTCCAGAGGAAACATCTCGCATACATGGTATCTCTGTTTTTGGAAAGAGACTATCCAGGAAAAGTGATAATGTGGTAGTTTTTCCGTTTGCTTTCCACTTTGCAGTAAAACAGCCGTTCAAACCACTCTGGTGACGCCTGTTGCTATACGAACTTGAACCATCTCGAGGATCATTTGCTCTGTGCTTCAAGTCGCTGCTGATGACGCTGCTTCCGGCATCGGTTTTTGGTTTTTGGTTTTTGGTGTCTCTCTTTGTTTGATGCCTACCCTTTGACCTGTCCAGCAAGGGAGGCCCTGCCAGTAGCTATGCTGCCGCTGGTAAAGCTCTCAGGGTCCTTGCCATACTCAAACCCCCTCACCATGATAAGGTGGAGACACCGAGGGAGTTAGTATATATGTATAAAGATAATTACAAAATAAATGTCTGAACCACTTTTATTTTCCATACTGGTCAGCTTGAGTTGACTAGGACTTTGAATAACATACATATGTGCCATCAATATACACTTTGCATTTATCCATTTTTCTCACATTAGTTTTTCTCATAGTCTCTCCATTTGAACTCTGCAGCAGTTGCCACGTAAGAGCCAGTATAGTTCCCTCAATATAATGACTGGCAATGTGTTTGGTGACCAGGGTTCGATTCTTGGAAGGGGCGGAAATTTCTGCCGTAATTTCATGTTTGAAAACACTTCAGATGATGGACAGTGTCAAAAATGATAGTGCTGTTTCTGATTAAACATGTTGGTTCCCTTTACTATGGGAATTGTGTTGTGCATTAGTGTTTAGCATTGTTGAAGCCTTTGCATGTATAATTATGTTCCATAATGGATACACAAGCAGAGACCAATTAATGTTTGTGAAATCCAGAAGGATAAATATCATTTTACCTTGTGGGTGATTTCTAAATTTCATATGGCAGGAAATGATATGTATATAAGCATGTTCACATAAGAAGTGAAGGGTAATGTTCATTTTAAAAAATTGTATTTTCAGTTTTGAAGTTGCAGATGTGATACATGTTGAGGTTCTACTCACATATTTAATTATCGAGGACATTTTGCATCTTAATGCTGCAGTAATGTTTTTCTGTTTTTAAAGAAGAGGCAGTTTCAGTTACTGTGAATACTATCTTTATTTTTGCTACAAGTTACATACTAAATTCCATAACTATGGAATGTTTAAATAATTGAAATAATTGAAATAATAATAAGTGAATAATTGAAATAAGAAAACCTTACCCAGTCACACTGAACGGAACTATTTAGCTTTTTCATTTTATGTCAATTTTGTTTGTCCAATAATGCCCCCGATTGCCTTAATTTGTTTGCACTTCTGTAAATATTTCCTCTGTGTGGAACTGTCGCTGGCTGAAATTTATGCTGAAGTTGTCTCACTTTTCTTGCAGAAACACTTCATATGGGTATCATACATGAATACTTGTTCCAGCATGTATCTCACATATGAAACTTTGATACAGGAAATAACATGAAGAATGGCTGCTTATCATGCAGATCAAATGTGGTAGCAGGAGTTAAAGTGACATGTATTTGAGTTGATTGATCCATAATACATACGTTCATGTTACACCGTGGTGACAGGGGGGCGAGGAGGTACCCCACCGCTGTCACCCTATGTTATGGCGTGAAGAGGGCGTGGAGGAATCTCTCCACCTCTTCCGCCATCCATGTCGTTGCGCCCTTGGGGAATGGCCAGTTGCAAGGCTAAGCACTTGGTACTTGACTCGTTAACTACCTCTTGGCTGTGAGTTCCCAGTCCCGATAACACAGGGAGGTACGGGAGAACGGGGAAATAGAGGGTGTGACTGGGGGTAAGTCAATGCGACAAATTTCTACTGACGTTGCTCTTCCGCATTGTACTACAAACATTACCCTTCGTCTAACTTCTCTAAGGTGAACCCAAAATAACTTAATACCTAAAAGTTACAAAAACCCTTGCCGAAATTCTACAGCATTACAGTTCACTTTAAGGCTGTATTGTCTAGAAAACTTAATTAATTTTTTTTTTAATTTGCTTAGTGGGGGTGGAGTCCAACTGGGTCCACTCAGCATGCTGGCTACTGATTGGCCTATTGTAGCCTGCCCTGGGTGATTATGATGATGGAGAATTTGGTGGAATGAAGATTGACAGGGGAAACCGAAGTACTCAGAGAAAACCTGCCCCACCGCCACTTTGTCTACCACAAATCCCACTTGCCCAGTCCTAGGATCGAACCTGGGCTGCCGTGGTGGGAAGCCAGCGACTAACCGCTTGAGCTATGGCGCGGCCACCTAGAAAACTTACTGTAGATGCAATGTTCGAATCAAATTTATGTGTTAAATGAAGGCATCCAATGGGAAGACGATGGTACTGCAAGTACAATGATGATACCAAAAAAAAAATATTTTAATGACTGGGTGATACATGATGAACTTGTGGGCTGGCAAATGAGGACATTCGCTTCAGCACTTGATACACTGCTTCACAAAAATATATTTGTTGGAAGGTTTGTTGCACATTAGGTCTCATGAGGTATACTGATATTCTGTCCCTTCGATATTAGATTGATTTATGAAAATAAACATCCTACTTTTGTGTTGAACATATGACCTTGTGTGTACTTGGAAGGCTGGTTCATACAAGATACAATTGAAAGTGTAAGTATGGTTACTGATTTATATAATGAACATGTGAAATATAATTATATGCATATATACAGGGAGAAAAGTGCTGATTTTAACAGACTAATAAGTCGTAAGGTAATATGACTTAAGTTGGTACAGATAAGAAAGGACATTTGCATGAGATTTGTGTTAAGAGATTTTGGAAGCAATTGGAATGTAAAGATAATGAGCTATTTAGGATAGTACCAGGAATTTTGAAGGTACTGACTTGAACAGTAGGAAGGAAATAGGGAGAAAAACGCAATTTTCTTAGAAAAATGATTTGAAGATATGTCACATGAAGGAACAGAATCTGCTGTAAGCTGAATGGGGCTGATATTGCGGTGACCTGGTGAAGTTGAAAATGCAGAGATAATCTTGCAGGTTTTACTTCCAGAACTGTTGCTAGTAGATATAGAAGTGGTATGTTTTTGGGTGCATCTTTTATGTTGACCATGATTTTGTTAGTGATGCTTCAGCAGAACACTTCAATGGTTCAAGACCATGCTACATTGTATTTCCATAAGTCTTCATTTTGCATCATTATCTTTGGATCTGCTTCTGTTCGTGAGATTTTTCTCCATTTAACTATACTTTTTATTATCTCTTTTCTTCATTCAAGTTGTGGGTGACTAAATAAAGCTATTGGCACGTTAATAATGAAATTATACACTCTTTAGGTAATATTGCATAGAGATTATTACAAAATTATTGTAGAATGTTACTTTCATTTTATCATCAATGTGACAGATCCATTAATTTGTATTTCCTGATCTTTGTTTAATAAACACTGTATTAAATTATAATTAATTTTGGATAATAAAGTAATGGGCAAATGTCTCGTCCCATTTTATTTTTTATGGCAAGGTCAGTGAATTTTGATAGGTTGGAGTACTTATCAAATGATGTGAACAATGACTGTGGAACAGCCATGCCCAGCACACAATACAGTGGAAGTTAAAGTTTAATTTGCAATTCTTTTGGTGGATTTATATTTTCAGTGCAGTGGAAGCCTGTATAGGTCTGCGCATAGCCTTTAGTTCATGTATGGCTATTCTAACTGCAGTATATCCATGACTTTTTGTTGCAAGGAAAATTTGGGTGGTTTTACGTAGTATAGGGCTGTTGAATTACTGTATACAAAGCCAGGCAAATAAGTTTTGAGACCAATTTTTTATTTCATTCTGGGTGATCTGGCAGCATTGTTACTTGGAATGTTAAGTGGTGGAACAAGAAAGAGCTCACATGAAAGTATGGATAAGCTGTGTTCAGTATTTGTTTAACAGTAGCTTGTTAGATTACTGTGTGACATCAGCTTTGCCCAGATGTGGAAATGGAGCATATGGTGGAACAGAGAGTAAATGTGAAATTTTGTAGTAAACAACAGAAATCACCCACTGGCCATACACCAGTCCATGGAATAGGGATTGAAGAATTCCCTCAGGCCAAAGAAGCTATAGATGGTAAAATCCAAGATCAAAACAATGTTGAGCTGCTTTTTGACATCAGGGGTATCATCCACTTTGAATTTGTACATGAAGGAAACACTGTCAGTCAGACATTCAATGTGGAGGTGTTAAAAAGTTTTATTGATGCCTTGAGGAGTAGTGAGGAGAGTTGTGGAGAGATCACTTATTGATTCTTCACCATGCCAACATGCCAGTGCATTTTTTGCTGCATGTGTTCAAGTTTTTAGGAGGAAAAGGCATCTCTGCCATGTATCATCTGTCATACTCTCCTGACTTGGTTCCATCTGACCTCTGGCAGTTTCCAAAACTCAAGCATGTGCTGAAAGGAAAGCATTTATCAGACATTGAAGACATTAGATCATCCATGAAAAACATTTTGACAGAAATTTCTGTTCAGAATTTTAGAAACTCACAGAATTACTGGGTTTTTGGGCTTTCTCCATCGTCCGGATTCTAGGTAATAAAGGACATGACATTTTGGAAACTTGATCAGGACACTGTAATAGATGACACGATGTTTTGGAAACTTGATCTGTCTCTGTCTTCACCTGAAGACAGAAACAGATCCAGTTTCCG